TTGAGAACCCTTTGGTAATTCAAGAAAACCGATTCTTATCGCCATTTAGCGCTCTGGAAACGTCTGTAACGCACCACACCACCCAACATCCACCCAACATCCACTCTATAGTCGAGCTTATGGTTGGAACTTCCAACGCGTCTCACCGAGCTCCCCGATGGTGATTCGCTGAGGACTGCGATTCGCGATGGTGACTGCGCTGAGCATGAGAAATTCCGTTTCATCCACCGCAATCCGCCCTTGCACGCCATACAAATACCCACGCCTTTTTCCTTCCCAACACCAATCCCACATTTCAAAGCTCTTGATTCACTCTCTTTCAGCTTCCTGCATCCTCTTCACTAGCTACTGGTAGTAAACATGGCGCGCCTGCTTACTGCTCTCGCTCTCCTGCTTGCCTTCACCATCACTATCGTGTCATTCGATTCTACCGCTGCTGCTCGTTCTGTTCGGATTTCTGGCAATGGGATGACTGCCGATGGTAAGTGGCACACCTGTGCGATGTCAAGTCGCAGGCCCGTGCGATGGCACGTCGCTGACCCGTGCGACGGCACGTCGCTGACCCGTGCGACGGCACGTCGCTGACCCGTGCGACGGCACGTCGCTGACCCGTGCGACGGCACGTTGCAGACCCGAGCGATGGTGGCGCGCATCTCAGGAAGCTGAGCAAGTTCCCCATGCTTGGCTTTAAGAAGCGTGAACGACAATGAAAGGCACTCGCGTCGCACAGATTGTTGCTTCCTCACTCGCACTGCCCCCCTCTCTCAACTTTCCTCACCTCCCCCATCCGCCCCTTCTCACCGTGTCAAGTGGCAACTGCACCGCTCCAACAATTACTCCAGCCATTCACTCTCTGCACGGGCGATGACTTTTGAGTCGACTCAAACGTCACTTCGACTTAAAAGTCACCGCATCAAGCGTTGACTTCAACTGCACCACTCCAGTAACTTGTACTCCTGCCATTCACTCTCAAGCGTTGACTTTTGAGTCGACTCAAAAGCAGATTCACTCTCAAGAGTTACCTCTCAAGAGAGAATCGCTCTGCACCGGCCATCGCTTCTCCCTCTGCACACCCCTGCATCCGACCAAGCCTCACGTCCCCACGCCGCGAGAAAAAGGTGGGGGAAAGCACCGTGCATCATTCCCTTTCTCCCTCGCCCCTCCACCCCTTCCCCCTGTCTCTTCCTCCCCTGCGCGAATCTACGTGTCGGCATGGCGTGGCGACAGGTGCGCCGGGAGCGGTAGACACCGCCGGCGGCTCCATCACGGCAGAGAGCGCGCCGAGTTTTGCTCAGCGCAGCGCGGGGGACGAGCAGAGCCGCCGGATATCAGAAACCTCCTTACGTTCCACCGAAGGCGTATGATGGTAAGAATGGTCATGCCATTGCCACACAAGTATAGACTTTGATTTGGAATTACCCAATATATATTTTTATTTATATATATGTTCACACATATATGTTTTTTTTCCTGCTGTTACTGTATACGAGGAGCTGGTGATTTCGTGCTGCCAGCATAGGCTGAGCAGCACTGGTTATGTAAAGAGCATAACCAGCTGTAAGGGGAATCGCAGCCGTCCATTTGCTCCTTATCCCCTTGCTGTCGCCCATTTGCAGGCACGCTGTGTGATGATGTGAAGAGAAAAGATTGCGCAGCGCCAGCGAGGCACTTCTTTGGCTTGATCAAAGGCAAAACGCCCACCCCTATTGAGGTTCTCAAGTGCGAGACAAAGCGTGAGCAACAGCTCAAGGAGTGCAAGAGCATAGGGTTCGACGCATGATGGTGAGAGGGCAACGCATGATGGTGAGAGGGCGATACTGCGGGGTGTGGTGCTGAAATGCTCCCCACACATCGCCAAGGATCCATTTCAACTTCACATCGCTTGAAGGGAATTTCTTGCCGCACACACAGCGTGTCATGGGAAGTATTGTCGCATTTGCCTTCATTTCCAGCCCGGTCGTACCCACCTACCCCGTGTGCATGTGAGGGGCTCAGCCCTCATGATGCCAGCACGTGCGCCGCACGGAAAGGCCATAGCAGCTCTCCCTTTGCAGCGCGGCAGAGTCTGGATGGAGAGCCTATGATGTTGCAGGGACCAACACGCCCGTGTATGCATGTGCCGAGGAACTGACTCGTGCCACCTCCCTACCTTGTTCTTCTGCCCGCGTACTATCCCTGCTTATCCAGCAGCCGCCAAGAGCAGCGCCTAGCAACACCCAGCGGGTCCGCTGTCAAGACTGGAAGCGTGTAAAATTATTAGTAATACATAGTAACGGCGAGGAAAGGCGAGGTTGCTTCTGCTTGCTGCAACGGAGATTAGCCTTGCGACCATGGGGGTGAGCTCATTTCTCTCCTGGTTCTTTTACATGCCAAGTGGGTGTACTAGCGTTCTCTATGTGGGTGTTAATGGATATGCTGTTTATCCTTTGTTGGCTGGGTGCTTGCTTGGATAAGGTGGATTTTAGATGATGTGCCTGGATGCCATGGATGTCAATCAGCCACAAAATGCATCTTATTGCAGCAACTTCTGTCCCCCTAGAATATGCTTGAAACAAAAATCTTAGTAGGAGATGAAGGCGCCCCAAAATGTCGCAGAGATTATGTTGTGAATTGGATATTGAGAGTAATACCTTCTTAGCAGCGCGCGGGAAGCGGCAGCGTCTAAAGCATACTTGCCGAAAAAAATATGGACTAACACGGCAAGTACGACGCGAGCTGAAGTTGTTACCTTGAGTGCTATTAAATTCGCGCCATACTGCACTTCGCCCGCTAATTGCCGCCAGCCTTGTCTGACTGAGTAAGCTGGAACAATTAGGGAGGTAGTGAGGAATTACTAAGGGATTTGTCATCCATTCGGTCATGGGACACTCCACTTGCGATCTCGATCAAGTTCGCGGCGTGTGGCGAAACCTTTCGCTGTTGTCTTAGGGTATGTGTCTTTTGGCGGGATTGGTCAAAGTTCGAACATAAACCGCTTTGCACCGTGGGGACGCGTCTCTCAATAGTATCGTACCGAGTAGAACCTCGCTAAAAGTTCAAACTTAGACAGAAGTTCGAACCCCTAGTGCACACGCCCGTACCAAAACAATCTAACTGCCGCGTGTATTTCTGTAGAACGCAAAACACATTATCGAACCGAATTTAATCGAACCTACGAGTCACGCCCGCGATGTCTTCATCCCAAACCCTCATCCTTGATTCCCATAGCTGCTGGTCGTCATTCCCTATCCACCACATAGTTCGTCGAACCGCGAATTCGGAGTGCATGCATCTAATTAAACCATAACTTCTTACTAATCCATACAATTTTCGAACCGCACGATCGCCATCATGTTCAAAAAGCCTAGCGACGTTCGCGGACAGCAGCGTCTGTCAGGAGCGGACAGAAAGAAGCTTCGGCGAAACATCCGAGACAAGTTTCCAGGCGCCACTGACGAGCAGCTGGACGCGATCCTGCCGCCCAAGGTGCTCCTTAGTAGCGACCCTGCCGCCCAAGGTGCTCCTTAGTAGCGATCCTGCCGCCCAAGGTGCCCCTTCGTAGCGATCCTGCCGCCCAAGGTGCTCCTTGGTAGCGATTCTGCTGCCCAAGGTGCTCCTTAGTAGCGATCCTGCCGCCCAAGGTGCTCCTTGGTAGCGATTCTGCCGCCCAAGGTGCTCCTTAGTAGCGATCCTGCCGCCCAAGGTGCTCCTTGGTAGCGATCCTGCCGCCCAGGGTGCTCCTCAGTAGCGATCCTGCCGCCCAAGGTGCTCCTCAGTAGCGATCCTGCCGCCCAAGGTGCTCCTTAGTAGCGATCCTGCCGCGTAGCGATCCTGCCGGTGCTCCCTAGTAGCTTCTTTGGGCTCGCCTCTTGAAAGCATCCGTGTTGAATCCTCGCACCCGTGACTCACGGGTGTTTTCGGAAAACAAACCTGCAACATTCACCTCTTGGTAGCACCCGCGTGTTGAATCCTCGCCGCCCTTTCCTAACCACGGCGTCCCTAATCCGCTACGATGCTTGCGCTCTCCGAATTTTGTGCTCTCTTCAGTGGATTTTTCGGAATTTTTACGACATTTTTTTTTGCACGGAACTTGCGTCGGTTTGTTTGGTGGTCCAGGCTGACGTGGCGGTGACGAGGCTGGTGAATCGCGTGCTGGTGTACGGCCTCGAGAATGGGCTGCCCATGCTCTTCGACTGCGACGGCCAAGGCACCGAGATCTACCCCACTGGTAATCACACAGAGATGTAACCACACGGAGATGTAACCACACGGAGATGTAACCACACGGAGATGTAACCACACAGATGTAACCACACAGATAACCATCCCCCCCCACACCCCTCGCGTGCTGGTGTACGGACTCGCGAGCGGGTTTGCCCATGCTCTTCAACTGCGACGGCCGCGGCACCGAGATATCTCCCACTGGTAACCGCATCGCTATGTAACCACACAAACTCTCTTATGAACCCTTTCTCTCCCCCTCCCCCTTTATTTCCTCCTTCACCGCTCCCCTCCGCTGTTCTTTCCCCCAACCCTCATGCGGGTGTAACGACTTGATTCCTTTGGTTAGATCTTTTCCCCTTTTCTCGAATCTCCCTATATGGGGTTCCCGCTGTCCATTGCACGTGCTTACTGTGCGCCCTCAGTTCCCCTCCCATGCAATTATTTCAATGACCTGCCCGCAGCTCAACATTCACCTCCTGTTCGCACTCCGCTTGTCAAACCCTGAACCCTCAATTCCAGATTTTCAACCTTATACACTCAATTCCTGCCCCTCAAATCCATTTCTGACACCCCACTACCCCACTCCCCATCCCCAGTGTTTGTGCTGTGGCTTGTGCCTGACTGCCCTGCTGCTATTGTTCCAGCTGACTCAATTGTCACTTGAAACCGCAACGCTGTCACCTTAAACCCCGAAACCCTGAACCCCTGTCACCCCAACCCTCATACCTCTTTCCTCAGTGTTTGCACTGTGGCTTGTGCCGGATCTGCTGCCATCGTTTTTGCTCAAGGGTGGGGAGGTCTCCCGCTATGTGTTGTCAGGGGCTGACCTCATGGCGCCGGGCGTGCAGGTGCGAGTGGGATCAGGTTTTCGGGTACAGTGCAGTAGGTTACAAGGCAGTAGGTTACAAGGCAGTAGGTTACAAGGCAGTAGGTTACAAGGCAGTAGGTTACAGGGAGAGGGTAGGGTGCAGCTTAGTGCTTGGGAGGTCTCCTGCTACATGCTGTCAGGGGCTGGCCTCATGGCGCCAGGTGTGCAGGTGAGAGTGAGGGACGAGGGCAGTCATGTGGGGCAAAAATTCAGGCTTAGCTCTCCTCTATACCTCTCTATACCCCTCTGCACCCCTCTGCTTCCCTCTGCACCCCTCTGCTTCCCTCTGCACCCCTCTGTCCGCCGCCAGGTGCCCGCGGAAGGCCTGCCAGCATTTCGACCAGGGGAGGTGTGGTCCGTGAAGGTTCCAGGAAACTCCTGCCCCATTGCTGTACGTGCTCGTCTGCTTGCATCACAAGGTTGCACCACTCTTGTGCTCCACCGTTCTCCACCGTTCTCCAACGTGCTCTATCCTGGTCCACCCCGATTCACTCAACTCGATGTTTCTTCACCCTGCTCCACCGCTCTCCACCCTGCTCCACTCTGCTCTCCACCCGCCCACTGTTCTACCCTCCTTTCTCTCCCACTTCCACACACCTCTCTGGCGCACCAGGTGGGCATAATGATGGTGGGCAGTGCAGAGGCTGTGAGAGCACATATCCCTCCTTTCCTCCTTCCATGCACACTGACTGTTCTGCCCTCCTTTCCCTCCCATTCCCGCGCATCTCTCTGGCACACCAGGTGGGCATAACGATGGTGGGCAGTGCTGAGGCAGTGAGAGCAGGCATGAGGGGGAAGCTCCTCCGAATCACCCACTACTACCGCGACTCACTCTGGTGAGCACCGCATTCCACCTTGCTCTACTCCCTCTGTCCACTCACATCCTCCTTGTGGTATCCATTCCCCTCCCCCTCTCTCGCTGTCCGCTCACACGAGAGGCCGTGGGGGCAGGCATGAGGGGAGGGGGCTCCTATGTGTGTGCCCAGCACGTGCTTCCTGCCAGCCCTGCTCATCTTTTGAGGCGCCTCAAAAGAAGCCGTGAGAGCAGGCATGAGGGGAGGGGGCTCCTGACGCAGGCAGCACCCAACGCTCCCTCCCCCTTTCCCCACCATGCCCACAGGGAGTCAGCGCCCTGCCTGCCCTGCTTGTGCCTGTCCGTAGTGCCACATCTGCTCTTCTAAACCAGATGGAGCAGAACTCAGCACTTCCTCCCCCCTTCCCCTCCACGCCCACAGGGAGACGGCAGAGGGCTCCTACGTGCCCAACAAGGGCTTCCTGCCGGACCTGGATGGTTGGGCCTGTCCGTGGTGCTCGTTGAACTGCTCATGCTTCCCCCCCTTTCCCACGCCCACAGGGAGACAGCAGAGGGCTCGTACGTCCCCAACAGGGGCTTCCTGCCGGACCTGGTTGTACCCGACCCTGATGCCGCACCTGCCCCGTCAGATGGAGCAGCACCTGAAGATTCACCTGATGGCGGCTCCAGTGCTGCTGGGGCTGGAGAGGGGGAGGGCGAAGCGGGGCGGGGTGAGGGGAGGGGTGATGAAGGGAGAGAGGACGTTGCCGGGGATGGTACAGCAGCAGCAGGAGAGGGAGCAGCAGCAGCAGCAGCAGCAGCGGTGGCGGCAGCAGGAGATACATCAGAGGAACTGTCAGGATCTTTGGAGCAACTGGGCGTGTTTGACACTGCTGCTGCTGCCGCTGATAACGTTGGTGGGGGCAATGAGGCCGATCAAACAGCATCTGCTGCAGAAGAAGCAGCAGAAGCACCAGAAGCATTAGCAGCACCAGAAACAGCAGCAGCAGCGGTGGCACTGACACCAGCACAGATGGACGAGTTGTTGGATCGCTGTCTGCTGCAAGCCCTCTCCGTTTCTGTCAAGCCCTCCCACCTGCCCCTGGCAGCTAGCTCCCTCTGGTAAGGCTCCTTCTGATATCCTCTCTCATAAGCACTAGCAGCAGCAGCACCACCACCACCAGCAGCAATGACACCAGCACAGGTGGACGAGTTGTTGGATCGCTGTCTGCTGCAGGCCCTCTCCGTCTCTGTCAAGCCCTCCCACCTGCCGCTTGGAGCTAGCTCCCTCTGGTAAGCTTCTTCCTGTCATGCTCCCTCACAGACGGCTTCCTCAGGTCCCTCTGGCAATCACGCCAGCACCAGCAGAAGCAGAGGCAGCAGCATCAGCAGAAGCAGAGGCAGCAGCACAGATGGACGAGTTGTTGGATCGCTGTCTGCTGCAGGCCCTCTCCGTCTCTGTCAAGCCTGCTCACCTACCACTCGCAGCTAGCTCCCTCTGGTAACCTCCCCCTGAAGAACGGTGCCTATAAAGTCGTCTCACGTTGTGAGGCGCCTCAAATTGCGATTGGTAGTTTCAGATTCACCAGCAGCTTGTGTTGTTTGTTGTTCACTGTGAAAGCTTGACGATTTTTGAGGCGCCTCAAAAATCGTCTCAGATTCACCAGCAGCTTGTGTTGTTTGCTCACTGTGAAAGCTTGCCTTGCCTTGCCTTGCCCCTCCCTCCCTCCCCTCTGGTAACCATCCATCCGCACCCCCCTTCACGGCAGGTCCAATCACGCGCTGCCATGTGTCTAACACAATGCGCATGGTATGTGAGTCATGTGATTCCCGGATGCCCCTCCCACCATGCCATTGGTGCTGGCAGGTCCAATCACGTGCTGCCATGTCGGCCACCCGGCACAACAGTGGACATAAAGAAGTCGTCTCACAAGAAGCTGAGCAAGTGGCTGCATGCCAAGGCTGTTGATGGGCTGGTGAGTGAGTGAGGGAGAATGAGTGTGCGAGATAGTTTGTGAGCAAGAGACCGTGAGTATGTGCTAACATGTCGTGTACCCACATACCAACTTCATTCACAACAGTGGACATAAAGAAGTCGTCTCACAAGAAGCTGAGCAAGTGGCTGCATGCCAAGGCCGTTGATGGGATGGTGAGTGCGTGGATAAGAGGGGGGATGAGGGTATGTTATTGTGTCACTTGCCCACATACATACTTCACACAAAGCCGTGTGCACTCAGGAAGTCGTCTCACAAGAAGCTGAGCAAGTGGCTGCATGCCAAGGCTGTAGATGGATTGGTGAGCGCGTGAGAGTGTGCGTGCCTGTGAGATGGATTGTGAGTGAGAGTGTCTGAGTGTGTGTTGTCGTGTAACACACCGCACACCTAGATCACACAAATATCACAAAGTTCACTTTGCATGGAGAGATTCGTGCCTGCCTGCCTGCCTGCCCACTGTGCAAGGAGGACAACAAGCACGGCATGGAATTCATCATTTCAGCCATCGACTCCGTCAACCCCTGCTTTTGCACCCATCTACCCCCACACCCCCTCCCTTACCCGCCTCCCCACCCCCTCGTTTGTTGCCTTCTCAGATAAGCGGCAAGGAGGACAAGCACCGCAAGGAGTTCATCCTTTCTTCCATCAACTACCGCCACTCCATGTTCACCCGTTCCAATGCACCCATCCTTACGCCCCGTCCCACATTTTCCCGCCCTCTCCCCACCTCAGATAAGTGGCAAGGAGGAGAAGCACCGAAAGGAGTTTAGCCTCTCTACCATCAACTACCCATGGCATTCGCATGCACCCAGCCTGCACTGTACCCCTTCCTGTGACAACCCCCTCCGCATTTCCCCCTTCAGATACGCGGCAAGGAGGACAAGCACCGAAAGGAGTTCAGCCTCTCTACCATCAACTACCCATGGCATCATCTTTTCTATTGCACTCGTGTACGCCCCTCCCACACCCATACCCGGTCGTTCGTTGCCCTTTCAGATAAGCGGCAAGGAGGACAAGCACAGAAAGGAGTTCATCCTCTCTTCCATCAACTACCGCCACCCAACCCTCATCGCCTTCACACCAGACTAGACAAACAAGCCCGCCCAGACCCCTGCTGCTGCAACCCAAGTCGCATCCCCAGCCACCCCAGGAGCACCCACCACCACCACCACCAGCAATGGGAGCAACGGCAGCACCGCTACTGCTGGTAACAGCAGCGGCGGCAGCGGCAGCAGCAGCAGCAGTGGGGGGTTGACAGTAGAAGAGGTGTTCAAACCCACCCACCACGTGTCAGCTATTTTCGAAGCTGTAGGGCTCGACCCACATGCCTTCTACTCCCCTTCCGCTGCTCGTGAGGCTGCTCTCTCCTACATATCCCTCCACTCCCTCACCAAGCCCTCCGACCCCTCTATAGTCGTCCTCGATGCAACGCTCTGCGACGCACTGTACAAAGGCGCGATAAAAAAGGGCGCGGCGTACCCCACCGAGTGCCACAAGCGAGACGTGGGGCCGACTATAGTGAAGCGAATGCAGGCGCATCACAGGGTGGAGAGAGGCGGGAAGAGCGTGGTGCGCAAGGGAGGGTTGGTGCCGGTGCAAATACTGGTGGAGCGGCGGCAGGGCAACAAGAAGGTGACGCGGGTGTCGGGACTGGAGGCTTATCTGGTGGAGGCTGAGCCTCTCGCTGCTGAGCTGCAGAGGAAGTTTGCTTCGAGCACATCGGTCGCTGAAGTGCCAGGTGGGTTCTAGTTAAGCTGCCAGGCACGTTCACATGTGCCAGGTGGGCTCTGTTCTAGCAGGTGCCATGGTCAATATGTGCCAGCTAGGTGATTTTTGAGGCTCCTCAAAAGTCGTCTCAGTTCTCGCGGATTTTTTAGGCGCTTCAAACATTGCCAGGCAAGTTCACATGTGCCTGGTTGGCTCTGTTTCAGCATATGCCACGGTCGATATGTACCGGGTGGGTTCTGCTGCAGCAAGTGCATGCAACCCTGCTCTCGCCCTCATCCCTCCCCATCCACTCATTCGTTCATTCACGCATGCATCCATGCACACGTGCATGCATTCATGAATTCGCCCATCCATGCACCGATGCATGCCTTTATGCATTCATCCATCCATGCACCCATGCATGCACTCATGTATGCATTCATGCATTTACCCATCCATGCACCTATGCATGCTTTTTATGCATTCATCCATCCATGCACCCGTTCATCCATTTATGAACGAAGGGGCAGCACGAGGTGCTGTTTTGAGGAACCGTGTTGAATGCTCATTTCCGTCCGTTCCAACTTCTACTCCTCCCCTCCCATGCTTTCTCTTTTCCTCTCTGTCTCCCTTCCCATGCATGCACCCTTGCACTCATGCACACGAAGCAGGCAAGAAGGGGCAGCAGGAGGTGCTGATTCAGGGAGGGGTGTTGGATGAACTGGCTTGGCTGCTGGTGGACGTGCATGGAGGGATGTTCAACGATCTTCTATACCTCCCATGTCCTCTCTTTCTCACTGTGCCCTCTCTTCCCATCCACATGCCCATCACACGAAACAGGCAAGAAGGGGCAGGAGGAGGTGCTGGTTCAGGGAGGGGTGTTGGATGAACTGGTTCAGCTGCTGGTGGACGTGCATGTTCACTTCCTTCCTTGCTCTCTTCTTCTCTCTGCCCCGTATCTTTCCATGCATACATCTGTGCACATGAAGCAGGTAAGAAGGGGCAGCAGGAGGTGCTGATTCAGGGAGGGGTGTTGGATGAGCTGGCTCGGCTGCTGGTGGACGTGCATGGCATTCCCAAATCCCATATAGAAGTCCTCGATAAGACCAGGAGGTGATACAAGAGCTGGCTCATTTGCTGGTGGGCGTGCATGGCATTCCCAAGTCCCATATAGAGGTACTCGATAAGACCAGGAGGTGATGTTAGGAGAACATTCATGTGAAACTGGTTATATGGAAGGTCGCATCAATACTGTTGTTTTGGGGGAAAGACAAGGAGAATAGAAGGGGGGAATTGTAAGAGTGAAGGAGTAGGGGGGATCTTGAAAGGAAGAAGAGGATGTGGGTGGTGATTGAGAGAGGATGGGGAGGAGGAAGTTTTGTCAGAAGGAGGGGAGGAGACAATGAAGGAGCAGGGAGGATCTTGAAAGGAAGAAGAAGATTGATGGGCATTGGGCAACAAAACTTGATCAGCACAGCCTTTAGTTGAAACCCTTCTTTAGCTTCCGCTCTTGCCGATAGCATTCCTCTTCCCCATGTTCCAAGAACCCTGGGAATTGGTCAAGAGGGGGTTGGTCAGGAGTGTGGAGGGAGATGATGGTGTGGAGAGGGAAAGGGCAGGTTGCCAGAGGAGTTGAACCATGTATCCCCAGAATTGAGCTGGCTTTTGTGAATTCTCAAAAACCAGTGTGGAGATAATGGTGCCAAGGAGAGAGGGCCGGCTGCCAGAGGAGTTGGAACCATGTATCCCCAGAATTGTTGCATATATCATCACCATTACAGCAAAGTACAGATTATTCCCTACTACCACACACATACACTCGGATCAACCCCCCCATCCCCTCTACCACCCTTCCCAATGAAAACGTAGGCCAAGCTGGCGAAACCAATCCCTGCAGTTGCACAGGCAAAAAAAAACGCAACCCACCCAAGAAGAAAAAAGAACAAGGAAGCAGCAGAACGAGAAGTTCTACTCCCTCTCAGTCACACTGTGAGTAATCACAAGCGGTTCCCGCAAATTCTTCTTGTGGGGTTGCTCGTCGTGGCTCATCGCACCCTCGGGAAACTCGCCGTGAGTTAAGCGTCACAACGGGAATCCGTCAGGCGTGCAATGGCGGGGATCGTTCCTAAAGCAGCCGCGGCACGGCCTAGTCGTCGTGGTGGTCGTGGTGGTGGTGATCTTCGTCGTGATGGTCATCGTGATGGTCGTCGTGGTGGTCGTCGTGCTCCTCCTTGGGAGGCGACGGCTTGGGCTTGGGCATGCACTTCTCCACGCACTCCTCGTACTTCTCCTCGCACATATCCACCTTGTACCACTTGAGACACTGACGGCGGCGGTACAGGCACCAGTCCTTGCACCCCCACTTGCCGTACTTGCAGTTTTGAACGACTTGTACGCCTTGCGCTCGCACATGGTCGACTGCGCCTCGCACATCTCCTTCTCGTCCGCGTCCTCGGCCTTGGCGACGCACTGCTCCTCCTTCGTGTCGCACGCCGCGTACTTGATCTTGTACTTCTCCATGCACGTCAGCTTCGGCTTGGGCTTCTCGTGGTGATCGTCGTGGTGGTCGCCATGGTGATCGTCGTGGTGGTCGTCATGGTGATCGTCGTGGTGGTCGTGATGGTCGTCGTCGTGGTGGTCGTGGTGGTCGTCGCCCAAGAAACGCCTTGCGGCGAGCGCGGCGATCTTGTCGAGATCTGCGGATCGTGCAATAATAAAACGCGTCGCGTCAGAAATTTCGAAATTTTGATTAATTCATTGATGAATTAGTTAATCAATTTATTAATTCAATAACAGCACAATTTCGACACAGAAGACACAGCAGGAAAATGCGGTACTCACCTGAAGTGGCGGCCGCGCTGGACTCCGCATAAGCGGAGGTGCAAGCAGGGCGACCGAAATCGCGACCAGAAGAGCAAGGAACTTCATCGGGGCCATGGTGGACGAAAGGTGGAACTTGGGAAGGGGAGTGAAGCTCGAAACGACACAAGTGGATGAGTCGAATGGATTTTCCATCCCCAATTTATTCGCGAATTTTTGCCCAGAGATGCTCCTCCGCCATCAAGCCTCAGGCGAAGCGCCGTCGGTGGTCGATGAGGGCTGGGGATTGGTTGGAAAACAGCGCCGATTCCATGGGCAGGCAAGAAGAATTTCTCATGAGACTTGAATTCTGTACACCTGCTAAAATTTGGCGATTGATAATCGATCTGTTGATGTCGAGCATCTCAAACATAGAATATTTAGGGCGAAGTCGATGTTTGGCCATTAATAACTATCTTCGGCATTGGGCTGGTCCTGTAAAATAAACATCGCCATGCTTGAAGGCGCCACGGGAGGGCGGCGTCGCTTTAGCGACTCGGTTTGTTGACGCGGTGTCATTGCTTTACCGCTGCCCCATCACCAAGACTGTAAGCTAAATTCCGTCCGATGACCTATGATCGACGTTGGAAAATAATCCTCATCCACTCTAATCTGCCCGAGAAAAAATGACTACGTGGCATGAACATTGCCACATTTGTCATCCTCGCCAGAAGACCTACTTGTAAACCAACGGAAGTACAATGTTGACAAGTGAAGTTTCTAGAACAAGGAAGCAAAAACTCTTTGCAAAATTTTCTATGCAAAAAAATTCTTCAGCTTTGAACCAAACCTGTTGTATGGTAAGTTTCTCTGTCAATCAGACATTGTTGTTACACGGGTCTCCAACCCTGTTGTTTTGTATCCCTAGCCAAGTGAGAAGAGCTTGCAAACCACAATGGTATACAGAAACTGGTCAGACTAGGAGCACACTCAACGGTGCATCATTGGTTGGAAATGGTAGAAACGAGAACGCCCTGCCGTGCCATCCCTTGCTATTTTCCAGCCTACTAACCACACTGCCTGCTATGGCGACTACAAGCTACTACAGGAAACACAGAAGATGCAGGTGCTATATATATAATTCTTATTACGGTACATGCCTCCTTCAATGGTCGCCTTACCATATTGGTCTACCTTGCAGGGGAGAATCCAGCATACTTGACTGCCGAGAAAGTGTGGCTAGAAGATATCGATGTGAGGCACCACAGAGTGCCTAACAAAGATGACAACATGAACCAAGGCAAAATGGGCAATGGAAAGATGGGGCATTTCATAAATGGGGCGAAGACAATTTTGGCCTTTGAACCAAGTGAGCGAATGAGGTGATTCAGGAGAAGGGGGAGGAAATGATGACCAAATAGCATGTGAGGGTGGTGAGCAGGGGGGGGGGGGTGATGGAGAGGGGGGAGGGGTGGGGGGGGAACAAGGGAGGGGGAGGAGAAATGTGCGGGTCAATCACATAAAGAGGGGAGCGCACAGGGTGATTAGGCATATGGAAGAGGACAGGTGATTGGGAGAGGGTA